CTTTGTACATTTGCTCTATTGTTTGTTTTTAATTTGCTCCTGATTTGAAGGTGGAGTCACTCTCCTCTTATGGTTCAATACGGTTTACCTGTGTGCAGTGAGCAACCCCACGCAATCTCACGCTGTGTCTCAGTACTTTCTTCCCCATCCGCTTCGAGAACGTTATTCGAATTTTGCGTTTCGGTGCAGCCATCCACGTTCAGTCCACGGATGCCGCGCGTAATTTTTAACCGCTGAATTATAAAATTTTGTTCTCTGTAGAGATTGTTCCATTATGATCTCTCATGGGAAGACCGGACCGATCTACTCAGAGTGGTCGAATTTGTAGCCCTCTGAACAAACAGCATTGTAACTGCGTAACCTCTTTATAGGTCAATTGTTAATGGGATAACTGTGACTAATGCGTCTCCTTCATCCATCTGAGTGAAGAGCACCTAATCGAAGCCTCGACTGAATCGATTAACGTTCGGTTGTAATAACATTTTGTTTATACTTTGGTCTACTTTGTGTCCCTCCATAAACATGTCAATAATTGTCGTTCCAATAGTGTCTTGTTTGCTTGATCCTGGTTTCTTTGGTCTTATCAATTTACACCGTTTTATGTTGACCCCGTAAGTGATTCTCTTGTAAAGTTGTTCTATAGATGTCATTTATTTAGTCTCATATTAACTCATTGAAAGCGAACTTGTTCGCCGTGGCAAGTTTTTCATTTAATTATTTATGGGAAATTTATTCTTCCATAAACTGACCGATAGCTCCACCCACTTTTTCCACGGTTTTATTTCAGGGTTGAAATCAATAAGGCGGTAACCAAGTATAAGCCGATTAATTTGGGACAGGTAAGTTCGGAATTCTTTCTACAGTTTTTGTTTGTTGGCACGAAATTGCCGAACAGGTAACTACTGCTAAAGACAGCAAATATACAGGTTACACAATCAAAATGTTAGGGAAATACTGCAACATGCCAACATATTTGTACCTTCGTATTCAATGAAAATCATTTATCGACTATCCTATGCTTTATAAGACCTCTACACTTCCAACTTGTTTCACAGAATATGCCTGTTATTTTCAACTGTGTGATCAAGTCCCAATTTTCTGTTAGCTATTGTATAGTTGTAGATTTTTTGGTGGATTATTTCCAGTAAACTTTCGTTGTTCTTTTCTTCATCACATTTTTCGTGGCAGGGTTTTCCAGATTGCCTACCACGCGCCCATGTCCTCCAAAGCATCGGGTCACTCGGTGCTCCAGATGTGAATCCGCTTCTACACCAGTATACTCGATCTATGGTTAGCGATTAGTTTTTTTTGAGCTCGCTCAATATATTCGTCAACTTACGTTCTGTGTGATACGGTAGTCACTTCATATTTCAGGGTCATCCCCGTCTAGTCAATATCCTCGCCCAGTTATACACTCCCTTTATGCGGTGTGACCCACATTTGTATGCGAATGCAACTGGCCCACTTAAACAAAACTCGTTCGCTGTCGACCGGCAGTTGGATCCTATGAACGAGGTTATTGTTTCCATAGGAGCTTACGGTGCTCTGTTCGCAGCCATCTCCTCTCTGATCGATCATGGAGACGAAGTGATCATTATGGAACCTAGTTTTGACTGTTACGCGCCGATGACCGTTGGTGCTGGTGGCGTTCCCGTCTACCTTCCATTACGACCACAAAAGGTAAGCGTTCTTCTAAATGCATAGAAAGAGCTATTTGTCCACTCGAACTTATTCTTCATTCAACTAAGATGCAACGCACACTTGATAGTCACTCTGTATTTCCAATCGTTTTAGCACATTATCTAATAACCCTACGTGTGTGTTTGTTCTTGTTGTACTGTGAGAAAATCTGATTCCCCCAATGCGATCGACTATATAGTCATTATTAAAGCACTCAGGTAAATACACATGATCATATACGGTATACATCACCCACAATTACTTGCAGTCGTCGCATTGCTGTAGACTTTCCAGTCAGCCCATTTCCAAAAGGAGTACTAGATTCGAGTTCCGCTCTAATTAGAGCTGGTCAGTAGTGCATGACAACTGCGATCAGTTGTGGGTGATGTTCAGTTTGCATGAAAACCAGAATCCCCTACTACTCATCGGAAATACACGTAATCTTTAGACAGCATGCTGGTTAGCACATGATGGATTAACTATGGCTGGACGCATTGATAATCTTTTTCGGACTCATGGTAGGGCTTGCTCTTTCGCCTCCGTTAGAAATTAACCGCGTACTCCCGTTTCCGTCAATAGGTTGAGTCTTCAGTTTGTGATCATCAGAAACAGCAACTTCCTTCACCCATCTAGGCCAATGGCTTTCTAGTTGGTGGGCAGTGGTTGTACGAAATAATCGATAATCACACATTTGACCGTTTATAAGTTGAATGTGTTGAAAAAGCAGAACAACGTTATGAGTGTTGGGGAAAATTCATTTTGCAATAATTGTGAGTATCAGAAAGATTTAGAAGCTAATTGGCTTAAAGGAAGTTTCTATGAATTTCACTCAGCGCATCATATCGTTTATTTTCTTCCATTACGATAACAATGATAGAAACTCTGTTATTGCGAAAGTAATCTACTTACTTCCTTTTGTTTAAATATGTGCCTCGGATGCACCAGCTAGTCTTAAGACATTGAGTTATTCCTGATTCGTGGGCTGTTAAAACGATGTTTTACACGCCGTATCCAAGTGGTCAAACGTTTACGTTATGCTGAACTATTTGCTTTGTTTGGTCCCTCCTACAAGTCGTTACGCATTAACTTCTTCTGATCAACCCAGTAATTGTTAGTGGTCCATGCACTCTTGTTCAGCCCATTGATGGTACAGGGGAAATAACAAGCGACGACTGGAAATGGGATCCACGGGAGCTGGAGTCCAAGGTCACAAAACGAACGAAGATGATCATTTTGAACACGCCTCACAATCCGTTGGGGAAGGTGAGCATGTTTGTATTTTGTATATTTGTTACTCATGAGTAGTATAACTGTTTACCAAAATTACCGATCTTTATACTTATATCTTGTGCGTTTCCGTCGCCTTACTATTGAGATCTGTTTGTAACAGTCGAACGTTTATTGCTTTCGTGTGTCTGTTAGTTTGCGCTAATGTTGAATGTACGGCTCTTTCATGATCGACGAATTGACACTAAATATAGCATACCTGATGAGTTTACTAATTCATCGTAACCTGTAATCCCACTGACGACCTTAACTACGTCCAATGAAGAACCATGTAGGTCGTAACGAGATGAACACACCGAAAGGTGATGTTTTTCTAAAGGCTGTGTATAGGCAAATAGCGCATACTAATGCGCTATTTGAGATGCGCATTAGTATGCGCTATTTGTTTAGTGGCTCGATGACTACTAACTTCAGGCGTGGTAAGAAGACTACAAAAAGTGGGAAAAGTCAGAACCCCCACGCCCGATGTGGGGCTCGAACCCACGACCCTCGGATTGAGAGTCCCATGCTCTACCGACTGAGCTAACCGGGCACGCATAGCGAGCCAAGAGCACGTGTGGTATGTGGCGTGCATTGTGCAGTTCTTACAGCCTTAGTATGCTCAGGTTAACTTCACAGCTATTCGGCAATCTCCTGGCTGGTTGCCGGGTTCACACGCGTCACACCACACCAGTTTGTTCTTCACGTTGTTCAGTATGCATCCCAATTCACATAAGGAACACTAAGTAATTGTTCAATTTCTTGCAGCAACGTAGAGCGACGTTTGTCGCTGAACTGTAAACCATTAAACACCAAGCACAGATGCACCCTCTAGGATGTCGCTCTCTCTTGAGTGCCATTATCAGTTCTACTGGTTGATTGGAGAGAACACAGCAGAGTTGTGGCGTGACTTCTTTTAGACGTCTCGATACTAACGGCCTGATTTGTCAGTTCTCTAACCCGACCTCGAGGGGAATGTAGTGGACTGATCAATTAACTAATAAAAATGACCAAAAGTATGGTAGAATCACGGAAAAGTTATAACGGTGACGAATAAGATCAAAGGTAGACGTACGGATTAAACAGAAAACGTATCGGTAAAAACAGGAACGACTCACTGATACGTCATGGTCCGTTAGGTGGAATAGAACACCGCAAGAAAGAAAAAAGGGCAGCGCTAGAGATCAGATCTGTGGGACGGCCGTTAGATAATTCCACAAGCGACGAGATACGATAAAATTTGAGCGTCGATAGATCAGCTAATACGCGGTGCTAAAATATCTCACCGTCCAACCACCCAATATTCACACGAATGAAGAAGACGGAGATGACGCGCGGTACCCACCGTTTATTAGTGTGGAATGATGCAATTCAAAAAAATGATTTTTTGATGATTTCACACAAGTGTATAACTGAAGATAACAAAACGATGTATACCGAAATGTATAAGCATGAATTATGAAATATAACTAACTTGTGGACACTACAGAAATGAACCCCAGCACTAAGTGAATCTCCAAGAGTTAAAGGTCTCTTATAATCACTAGGCCCAAGATACGTTAGAGCGTTAAATAATGCACCGTTGCCAAAAGGCGCACCATTAAAAACAGCAATCATTGATCAACTATATTCGGTCGACCCAAACGTGCATAATGTATACTAATCAATGAAGTATGTATGGAAATAATCTACACATTTTTGCATTACTGTGCGTCTACTGGGGAGGCGAACGGTAACCTCGACGGAGAAATGAAAATGTACAGTTGAGTAACGCTCGGCGTGTAACTCACAAAGCGGAAATGTGCGAAAATTCAACATAAGAACTCCCGGATACGGGAATGTGCTAAAACAAACAACAATAAAATTTCTGCTAAAAATAGGCTATTTGAAGGGGTCACCACAATGGTTACGGTTCTAACTTATGCATAATTATTTTCCACCGTTTCCCTCCTTTTAGGTTTTTGATCTCAACGAGTTGCAGTCGATCGCGGATTTATGCATCAAACACAATTTGGTCTGTGTTTCAGATGAGGTATATGAGTGGCTCGTTTTCCCACCGAAAAAGCACGTTAAAATTGGTGAGATCTAGATCAGTTCTTACAAACTGTGTACATACATGTATGCGTTTCCGCCCTGTCTTCTTGTCTAATGTCGGTTTATTAACATATTGCCTTTTTACCCGTCTGATTACGTTTACAGTATCGTTTGCGTAGTGTGTTGGCAGGCGATGTTTGAGTGGTCCGTAATACGGTACCAATTCAGATTCATTTGGGGACCACAGATATGATGCCGTATCGTTTGTTTTGGCAACAGCTGGCCATATAACTTAACCGGAAGACTTCTTCGAGCACATCTTTCGGTAGTCTCTACAACCTCGAATGTACCATATTCCGCTCATCTCGAGTGTACACATACGACGCAAATAGATCAACTTTAACTCCACACCTCGTTCACTGTGTGACCAGAATCAACCAGACGAATCAACATTGCCGCAGGTATAATTCGTTGCTGTCCGACAAACAACTAAACGGAGTAGTGTTTACCTGTTTGCTCCGATGAACACACCATTTCGCGACCGGTATACTCTGCTCTACGGAACTAAGAAAATGACAACACACAAAAGGAGGGACGTCACCGGATCCTACGTATTTGAGCTGAAGGTGTGTGATTAACTTAATGCTGTGAAACATGAAGGTTCTTCTTCAAGATCGTGTCAAGTTCCATAATCAGTGACAGATCTGCGATTCCATCGTTCTGCTGTAATCTCATCTACCATTTTGTGGGTGAAAGAGTGTTCACAGCCCCGTAGATCCGATCGTTGTGCGTTGTAGGTTACCGGTTTATCAGTATATCCATTAGTATGCAAATTCCCGACCAAAAATTGGAGCTCTACGCCCAGAATGTCAAAAATGTAAACTGTTAATTCCGATTTATTGGCTGTCTTTCGTCCTGCTCAGTTCTCATCGTGGCCTTCAAGCTTTTATGGGCTACGTTAACTAACGAACTGAACATAAACCACTTTCTGATTTACTCACCTTCCTGCTAGTTTAGTTGAATATGACCGAACTGGCACATACATTGAAAATGCAGGTAAAATTCTGAGTAATTTTACGCTAGTTCAACACTGTTTTCCCCCCAACCTATTAAAACTAAGGTCATGTGATTGAGTGAGTGAAACCACCGGACACAGTCTAGTAGCAGTCTGCCTAATTCTTTTATTACACCATCCTTAAGACAAGCAGCAGGTCAAGCACAACTTGGCCAAGAAAAGGACTGTTGGTCCGCTACACGTCCCGGACGCATTAAGACAGACTCGGAGCCTTGTCATCATAATCTACTGAACCTCTTATAGGACAGTTTGGAACCCATCGTGATTAATTTCTCTCTTTTCCACCACAACGGCTCCATCGTCTAACAAGCACTCGTGTGTCTGTGTTGGTGAGGGGGAAAGTCTTCGGAAATTAAACTCTCACTCCCGCCCATGATGTGCAGTAATTATCTCGTCACGCGGTAAAAACGGCACGAACAGTGCGATGTAGTATTCGTGATTGCGTGTATCAACTGTGACCAGCGAAACGGGCAAATGGCTAACGCTTGGATTAACACATACTGTCCCTGTGGTAAGTTGATAACACAAGATCATGAAATCAACACAGATTGCACAGAAGTGACCACATGGGTGAGAATGATAAGGGAAAGTTGTATGCACGAAATTTGTTCAGCTGGCGCGTAGAAATAGGTGGAAACTATTCCAGCATTGTTGATATAGCCTAAAGTCGACTGACGATATGTTGACTGACAAGCAGGATGAACACCAGTAAACTCGCATCGCAACACATTTCTTGGGTTCAACAATCCAAGCTGTGAGCCTAAAATGAATATATACAGGCTATACGCCAGTTTACACCATTTGAATCCGTTTTATGGCTTTGCAAAGTTCTCTGCATATTATCAAGTGCGTACTGCAGAACAGGAGATTTTAAGACGGAAAACATGAGGTCAAATGGGAAACCACACATACAAGCGAGATATACGACGCAGCTACTCGCTAATGAGTCAATGTTGCCATTATCATATCAGTGTTAAGCTAACAAGTGGGTCATTCTGCACACTTAGAGGTGGATACCAGCGTATCAGAGCAACTGCCTCAGCATATCGTATCAACTAGTGCTTATCAGTTGCGTAACACAACTGTGAATGCTTGCTTGGGATCCACCTAGTGATGGCTCTCCAAGAGATGAGCGATCACTGATGCCGGTGGTCTGTGGTGGCTACCGTGTACAGAGTTGAGTTGTCACCGTGCACCTGCGCCACATACTTCTTCACCCATGTTGAGATGTGTTCCGAGATCCGAAACTTCAGCTGACGTTCCATCATGCCAATGCAGTGTACTTAGCAACTACGTGGAAATTGGTAAGTGATATGGGATCTGGCGAACGGTTTTGGAGGCGAGACTGAAATACGTTTTGTGGTGTAGGTTAACATGACCTCTGCGGCATTATGCGTCTGCAGCACAACGGTCTTGGTAATATGCAAGAAATTTTGCAAAGTTATAAGTTGTACGCATTAACGTTTCGATTGCCCCACCAGAGTTTATTTTGGGAAAATGCTTTTTTACATTTGAATCCAATTAGGGTATTTCAACTAGATCAGTGCGCACCTTAGTCACGCACAAGCGGACACACCACCAGCCAATAGGCTGTTATCCACATCATTTCTCTGACTATGTATATTTCGTTTTATGATTCTATATATGTAAATCGGATGAATCTCTTGTTATTATATTCGTTCTGCGAGAATGACCGAACACAGCTGTCTACAATCTTATCTTTACGTGAATATTCTGGGTATAATGACTATTAATTTGTGCGTACGAACATGGAATTGAAGTTTTACAATCAGCTGTTTACTACTGATTGTGTATGTGCCTATTCTCATCATCTAGTGTATCGCACACTTATCTGAAAACCGGACACCAGTTGGAATCATAAAAGGTGGCTGTTACTAAAATGATTCGGTAGAGGAAGATAGAGAAATATTAATGAGATTGGCACCCTTTTTGTTCAGCTTTGTAGTGCACTCGATTTTAGCTGCTTTCAAGGTTCGTGTTTCTGTTTTTCCCTTTTCAAAAGGTGGCGTGTATGAAGATAGCTAAAGGGGGACGTTGCAACAAACATAACCACATACTTGTTACGGCTTATGACGGTATTCTTCTGTGTCTGCGGGCAGCGAAACTCAGCATCTTTAGGGTTCCAATCAGCAACTCCGGTAGCATTAGCGATTTCACTTTATACCAGTCTCTTTATGCTTCAGGCCTTGAGTTGCTCATTCTTGTACTTTTCTCAGTTATCCCCAAAACGAACACACGATGTGCCCTGTGGCGGGCACGTTGTTGAACCTCAACGACGGTTGTTCCCTTACAGACGGGTATTGCCAACATTAGCCATCCTACGGACACCATTGAAACGAACCTGCGAGGCTCAGCAGCAGTGAAGAGCAGAGCATCGTCGTGCACACAGCCGTGTTATATATCCTGCACTTTAGTTATAGGTG